GGGGGGGGGCACCACAATGTGAGGAACTTTATTTAGGGGTCACGGCATTAGAAAGGTTGAGAACCACTGCTCTACTCTCACCTTCCTCTGTCCAAAAGCCTTTTCCCCTCCTTCCTCACCCAAAAGTCTTTTTTTCCTCACCTCATTTGCCCCAAAAGCCTTTTGCCCTTCCACCCCCATAAACCCTTTTTTCCTCCCCTCCCTTGCTGCTCAGATTTTTTTACCCCTCGCCCTCCTTGCTTCCAAAACCCTATTTCTCTCCCACCGCTCGGGTCGCTTCGATTGTGCTTTTCCTGCATGCCAGAACAGGGTTGGAATGGATGGCCCCTGGGGTTTCTGTTATTATTATTATTATTTTACTACTGCTGCTACTACAAAGCCTGGATGGCCATCTGTTGGAGTATTCTTTGATTGTGCTTTCCCTGAATGGCAGTAGGTGGTTGGATTGGATGGCCCCTGGGGTCTTCCACTGAAATGCTATTAAGTTTATATTGGTTAAAATTGTTCTTCATTTTAAATATTTTATTGTTCTTTCTTTTCTTTTTTTCACCACGAATGAGAGATATGCAATGTGTACAAAAATTTGTTCTTTTTTTAAAAATTAGTTTACAGTAACATTCTCCATTTATCTGCTACTGGCCTGGACTGTCTGCAAAATTTTAATACACAACATGTCAAAACGTTTGCCCATGCCTAATATATTTGTTGTTCATTCGTTCAGTCATCTCCGACTCTTCGTGACCTCATGGACCAGCCCACACCAGAGCTCCCTGTCGGCCGTCACCACCCCCAGCTCCTTCAAGGTCAGTCCAGTCACTTCGAGGATGCCATCCATCCATCTTGCCCTTGGTCGGCCCCTCTTCCTTTTGCCTTCCACTTTCCCCAGCATAATTGTCTTCTCTAGGCTTTGCTGTCTCCTCATGATGTGGCCAAAGTACTTCAACTTTGTCTCTAGTATCCTTCCTTCCAGTGAGCAGCCGGGCTTTATTTCCTGGAGGATGGACTGGTTGGATCTTCTCGCAGTCCAAGGCACTCTCAGAACTTTCCTCCAACACCACAGCTCAAAAGCATCTATCTTCTTTCGCTCAACCTTCCCTAAGGTCCAGCTCTCACATCCGTAGGTTACTACAGGGAATACCATGGCTTTGACTAGGCAGATCTTTGACTAGGAGGATCCGCCTAATATATATGCATAATATATAATATAATACGAGGGGTATTTTTTAAGTAAGGTCCATTTGAACATAAGTACACAACGAAAGTTTATTTCAAAAAAGTAAATTTATTTTCAGAAAGTACATACTTCACTCTATTTTTGACATAGTTGCCAAGTTTGTTCAAACACTTATACCTCTGAACCAATTTTAAAATACCCTCTTCATAAAAACTTGCCGCCTGCTCCGATAACCAAGAGTTCACTCAAATCTTTGGTTTTTGTGGTCCTCTGTTAGGAGTTTCGGGACCCAACGGGAGCACAGTTTCCTAAACTTTAGGTGTTCAGAAACAATGTTGTAAAGCACTGATCTCGACACGTCAGGAAATTCGTTTGAGAGACCTGTTATTGTGAAGTGCCTGTTCTCATGAATCCTCGCTTCAACTGAAGCCACCAAATCGTCTGTAATCAAAGAAGCGTGACCGGAGCGGTCCTCATCATGGACATTGTCACGGCCATCTTTGAATTGTCGTACCCACTTACACACTTTGCTTTCACTCATAACAGTATCACCGTACACTTCACAAATCTGTTGATGAATTTCTGCAGCAGGCAGGTTCCTTGCTGACAAAAATCGTATCACTGAGCGAACCTCACATGCGGCGGGTGAGTTGATAGTCTTAAACATTTTTAAAGCACAGAACAGAACCGTACAGGTTAACTACAGAGCGGAAACTGAGCACAGTTGTTCCCGAGTACACAACGCACGCGCTCGTTGCAGTATGCGCACGAACTACTAGTGTCTACAACAAAACGGACCTTACTTTAAAAATACCCCTCGTATGTTGTTGATTCCTAACAAGACAGGTGTGCAGCCTGGGGATGGATTTTTTTTTTTGTTGAAAAAATTAATCTTATTGTTCATTTCCTTACTTATTGTTCATTGTTCATAAAGCTACAGTGACAGTGGGTTTTATTTATTCAGTCATTTATCTTTACACAATTTTGTATTTCATGACTTCATCCCAGAAAATATTTCAGCGTCAGCATAAAAACAGAACACATTAAAATTCAACAAAAAAAATCCCTCACTTTAATCTAAGTATTAAGGGTTAAATCAAGAGGTTTAACGTTGTTGGTCAGCTTGAAAAATACATTTTAAAATATGCACATACTAATTTTAAAACATTTTAAACTTTGTATTGTCGAAGGCTTTCATGGCCGGAATCACTAGGTTGCTGTAAGTTTTTTCGGGCTATATGGCCATGTTCTAGAGCTCTAGAACATGGCCATATAGCCTGAAAAAACTTACAGAAACCTATTTTAAACTTTCAAATTTTAAATATTTCAGGAATATAACTTGAAATTGGGGACATTATTTGGGGCAGGCCTTTGATTTTTGGTATTGCTGTTTTTAAATTGTTTTTAAATTGTGTTAGATTTTAGCCGTTCTTGTAAGCCGCTCCGAGCCCCAGG